TGAATGCTAATAACCTAGCCGTTAAAACAGAACCAAACACCCCTTAGAATTTCAACAAGATCAGGCCTAGGATCTTTAGGCCCGAACGACCTTACGATGGTATGCAGTTTGATTCTAATAATAGAAAGGGTATAGAAAGGATATTAAAATACAGGAAAATACATTCATAGTTATTAAAGTATTCAATATTGCTTTAAATTTAACTAGAAATTAACAAATTGCAAAACATCGAAAACCATCGATATATCGATGTTTCTCTGGCGATGTATTTTAGCCTCGATGTTCTTTTCTCCGATGCATCGAAACATCGATGTATCGATGTTACTGCTCAAAATTTGCATCCCTAGGTAGAACACTGAGTGGTGCGCGGCAAAAGTTGCTGGAGGCAATTTGTGTGTATTTTCAATGCTACAGGTTAGTATGCCACCATTACCTTTGTTGAAGAGATTCTAGAGAGAGAGAGTTCCCTGAGGGGGAATGATAGTTTAATTCCAGCACTGAGCCCGCACTCGTACACTGTCGAATCGTCACTGATGGCTCCAAAACTGACTCAGGGTCGGGATCTGGAGTATTTTTCCAAGTTAATGGGGATAAGCTTCACTTTTTCTCTTGGGGAATATGCTTCGGTATTCCAGGATGAGGTATTTGCAATCCCCAAAGCCATAGACTACGTGGTGGAAAATAGGTGGAGTTTACGTGTCTACAGGTACAGCCAAGCTGCACTTCGGGCATTGGCCAGCCCTCTATCTAAGTACTTCCAAACTAGTTTGGCAATGCAAGTCTCGACTAAATTATGTTGGTAAAGATAACGAGCTCGCTTTACTCTGTGTGCCGGGCAACTTTGGCTACAGTTGGCTTAGACCAGGCATTCCTCCGCAACCAGAGGTCACCATCAGAAACCACCACCACCATCAGCAGGTGGGCAAAAGTCATGTTGCCTTCAATCTCAGAGGATCTGTCTAGTTTTTTCCTCTCACTGAGAAGATGGGACTGCTGACTGGTCACTTCACGCGCACAAACACCAGACTGTGATAGGCGTAAATGACAACTCCATTTCTAAATTTAAAGTTTGGCGTAAAAAGCTTTGCAGTTTTATTGTTTCAAGTTTTGTGTTTTAAAAATGCGATTGACGAATATTTTTCGCATCACTTTAAAACTCGGAGCGATAAAAATAAAAATTATGCCATCAACACAAATAAACTATTGGACAAATAGGTACATCACATGCAAATTCATGAGTGAGCCGCACTTTTTTTACCATATATCGTGTACATAAATTTAAAAATTACCGCAGTTTAAATTTTTTAGAGTTTTGTTAGTTTTTAATTTCTTGAAGTTTGCCCTTTTTAATTACTTGAGCGGAATTCCAAAATTTTCTAAACTTTCAAAACTTTGGGAATTTGAGAAATTTTAGTAAACCCCAATAATCTTACATCTTACTAATATTATAAATGTGAAAGTTTGTATGTTTGGATGTTTGGGAAATCATCACGCGGAAACGACTGCACGGATTTGCATGAAATTTTGTACGCAGATAGCATATGGGCTAGATTAGTTAATAGGATATTTTTTTAAGAGTTGCCACCTGCTAAAAAAGATTAATTTATTTTATATGCGGGAACGACTGAATGGATTTGCATGAAAATTTGCACATAGATAGCTTATGACCCAGATTGGAAAATAGGCTACCTTTCTTAAGAGTTGCCACCTGTTTAAAACGTTTCATTAAATTAATATGGGGAAACGACTGAATGGATTTGCAAGCAGATAGCTTATGACCTACAGTGGAAAATGGGCGAATTTTTTGGAAGAGTTGCCACCTGTTAAAAAAGTTTAATTAAATTAATAAGCGGAAACGACTAAACCGATTTGCACGAAATTTTGCACACAGATAGCTTATGACCTAGGTTAGAAAGTAGGCTACTTTTCTTAAGAGTTGCCACCTGTTAAAAACGTTTCATTAAATTAATACGGGGAAACGACTGAATGGATTTGCATGCAATTTTGCAAGCAGATAGCTNAGCGGAAACGACTAAACCTATTTGCACGAAATTTTGCACACAGATAGCTTATGACCTAGGTTAGAAAGTAGGCTACTTTTTTAAGAGTTGCCGCCTGTTAGAAATGTTTAATTTAATTATTATGCGGAAATGAGTGAACTGATTTACATGGAAGTTTTCACACAGATAGCTTATGAGCTAGGTTGAAAAACAGGCTACTTTTTTTAAGAGTTACCACCTGCTACTAAAGCTTAATTAAATTAATACGCGGAAACGACTGAACAGATTTGCATGACATTTCGCACAGAGATAGCTTATGACCTAGGTTAGAAAGTAGGCTACTTTTTTAAGAGTTGCCGCCTGTTAGAAATGTTTAATTTAATTATTATGCGGAAATGAGTGAACTGATTTACATGGAAGTTTTCACACAGATAGCTTATGAGCTAGGTTGAAAAACAGGCTACTTTTTTTAAGAGTTACCACCTGCTACTAAAGCTTAATTAAATTAATACGCGGAAAAGTCTGAGCTGATTTGCATGAAAGTTTGCACACAGATAGCTTATGAGCTAGGTTGAAAAACAGGCTACTTTTTTTAAGAGTTACCACCTGCTACTAAAGCTTAATTAAATTAATACGCGGAAAAGTCTGAGCTGATTTGCATGAAAGTTTGCACACAGATAGCTTATGAGCTAGGTTGAAAAACAGGCTACTTTTTTTAAGAGTTACCACCTGCTACTAAAGCTTAATTAAATTAATACGCGGAAAAGTCTGAGCTGATTTGCATGAAAGTTTGCACACAGATAGCTTATGACCTAGATTGGAAAATAGGCAACTTTTTTAAGAATTGCCACCTTTTTGAAAATGAAATTTTGTTCAAAGATGGTTTATGACCTGGATTGAAAAATAGGCTACTTCCTTAACCGGTTTTCCGATCAGAACGAAATTTAGTACACTTACTACGGATTTCGGAAGGATGGTCTTAGACTGAAAGTAAGTCCGATAACTCAAGGCCCCTCCCATACAAATTGGAATTTTCATATTACATACATATCTCTGGAAGTATTTGTGGGAGAGAACTGAAACTTGGTGTAGTGATATGTATTTGAAATCAATGATGGCATTAATCGATTGATGTTTTAATCAGTTAGTTAATTCGATTAAATTCAATCTGATTATAGTTAATCATGATTCATTTTAATCTAACTAAAAAGTTAATCGTAACCGCGATAAAAAAATTAATTTTTAATCGTTAACTCTTAATTTGAGCAAGTAAGTTTGGTGATTAATTAAGTTATGCTGGAATTTCCCTGTGCACACAAAGCAAGTTAATCCGGTATGGCTAAATCAGGTTTTGTCATCAATCTAAGCAATTTGGTGTGCATTTTCATTAAGATATATACCAACAAACGTTTTATAAACTAGGTTTGTAAAAGTTCCCAGTTTATGTATTGCTAATAACAATAATTATAATTTTTTTATATTATATTATCACCTCCCATACTGACTGAAGGCTTCACTTTGCATATCTCTTCAAATGTTTGGGGTAAATCACTCAAGCTTGGTATGGAAATGCATATGTATGTATGTATGTGAAACTAATACCATACTCATGGAGAAAAATGAGAGTTATTGGAAGAGGTGGTGTGGCAACTCCCATGCAAATTGATTTTTCTATGCTGCATATCTCTGGAGGTGTTTATTGCAGAGGACTGGAACTTGGCACCGAGATGTGTAATTCCATACTCATGGAGAAGAATTTGCGTTATTCGAAAAGGGGACATGGTTCCTGCCGTACAAATTTATTGTTTTATACTGCTTATCTCTAAAGGTGTTCAAGGTAGAGTACTGGGACTTGGTACTGGGGTATGTAAATTCATGGAAGAAGATTAGGGTTATAAGAAAAAGGGGCGTGGCACTTCCAGTACAAATTTACTTTTTCTTGCCACATATCCCTGGAAGTGTTTGTGGAAGAATACTGGAACTTGGTATGGAGTTGTGTATACAAAATGTATCAACTGCTCATGGAAAAAATGTGAGTTATTAAAAAAGGAGGCATGACGTCTCCCATACAAACTAAAAACTTCTTAATATATATCTCTGGAAGGTTAGAAAATCTAACGAAGTATTTTAAATTTGTTATGGAGATTTATTTTATAAGTGCCGTACTGACAGAATAAATTTCATTAAATGGAAAAG